GCTGTGAAAAGCGTTGCTGACAAATTCAGCTTCAGCGCTGCGGGCGCAAAGTCTTCGGTTGCTTGGTACTGCTTGACTTTGCAGCACTTGCTATTTTTTTATTTTCTTGCGCCACCTCACACAGCTGTTTTGTTACATTTCGGTACTGATTTGCATACGTCAGAGGATTGTCTGCATGACTGACTGAATTGTTGACTAGCCGGCGGACTGACAATAACTCTTGATTTCCTTTGGTGAAATTATGAAATCTTATTTGGCGCTTATGGTTAAATCTTTGGAAATGAAGTAAATTCAAGTAGATTTACATTTGCAAAGTTCAACATGTTTAGCATTGAGATGGCACAGAAGCTGGCAACTGATTGTTATTGTAGTGCTTTTGCGTATCTATTTTGGCTGCTAAATGAACTGCTGAACTTCGAGTTATGGTTATGCAAATGAAGGAGCGAAGCAGATTGACTGCTTTATTTGCTTGTGAAGTGAAACATATTATAGAGCTATAGCTTACAATTGAGTTTAACAAAAACTTCTATTTTCCATCAACTCCTTTCGAACAGTACTTCCTATATTTCAAGGAAATGCCTTGTCTTCTGTTTGGTTAAAATAAATGATATGTTGAATATTTGTGGCGTGGGCAAAATACTAAATATGCCTGATTTAAAATTTGAGTAGGGTTAGTAAATCATTAATAATAAAATATCTTCCGAATTTAAGCTTTCTATTGGCACTGTCAGAACAATATAAATAAATGGGTTTGCGCGCTATATCCTTTCCTCATCACGTGCTTTGCAATAACTCTACTGTAGCTACGAGCACATCATCAATATGCTACCTCCAGTAATCAACAAGGGCATCACTGAGTTGAGTTTGGGGGTAATGTCAATTCTCCGCCGTCGTCGCCGCCGTCGCCAATGATATGATTATCATTTGCAAAATCCATACCTCGATTTGAGCAGCTTCAATATTGCTCTGAATCACGGCCGTCAACACATTTCCATGCTATGTCTACACTACAATTACTAMAAAGCACCAGTTGAAGCTTACCACCATTGTCATTTTCATCATTAACACTCCGGCAACAGAGCGGCAGCACTTGACAGCTGCATTAGCCAGCCCATTGTCAGTTGAGTTAGATTTTGCCATTGTTCTTGTCTTCTTCGTGTTGCTGCTCGCTATGCATTGCCTWCATTCGATTCGCTTTTTATACTCTTTCAAGGCGGCATTGTCAATTGGCTCCAATTTGTTTTTCCATTTTACATCCTTTTGTTCTTGCTTACAAATCAACCGACGCTTCATCCCCGAAGTAATGTGCTGCGAACACATCGGCATGCCATTGGCTGCCTCTCTGCTCTCACCTGCTTACTTGTCTGACTTTCTGGCATAATGTCAATTACATTTTCCTATAAGCAAGATAGCGGAGACCTGTTTGCTAAATGGGTTTGATTTTGATTTTGAGTTTTAAATGCTTTTTGATTAATTGCACTTGAAAGGCAGAGTGGCAGTGAATAAATTCGTTGGCACTGAAAGTGATTTGTCTCTTTTTGTGACATATTATTTTTGGTTATTTGTCGCATTCTTAGTGGGAATAAGTTGGCAAAGAGGTGATAGCTTTGGAAACAGATGTATTAKTATTCCTTTGCCCATTAGCGGACTAAAGAAAATTGCTGAAAAGGGTTAAACTTTTAATACAAGCTTATTCTTACTGCAWGGTGGAAGCAATTCTTGCTTTGATTGCACTTTTTTTCCACGGCTTTTTATAATTGACGTATTTCGATCTTGGACTATTATGAAATACCCCAGTAAGAAATATACATTTAAAAACTCTGTTTAGAAAATACCTGATAGAAATTTTGATCATCACCGCTACTCCGACTGACTTAGGTACTTTAGGTTTCTAGCTATATACTTTTCATCAAGCTTAATTCGAGGTAAAGGTTGTAAATTTCCCTGAAACTGCAAGATACATTCGATGGAATGAAAGCGTTTTAAAGTGTCATTGTTAAAAAAATATTACATTACCTTCATATAAGTTAGTTTGACATCTTTCAAATTCAGTAAGTTTTGAAAATTTTTTAGATTTTCTGTTATTGCCCACCTTTGTTAGCGAAGGCATATGTTATTCTAAACCGCTGCTTTAGCTTTTGCTCTTGCAAGTGCACGTGCTGTTTTTTTTTTTTTTATATGTGAACACATCCTGCGGCATTATAGTGTAGTTATCTCAGTCACTCCAGTCGTTGAACACAGTGAAATAAAAGCGAATGTGTTGCAATTCAATTCACATAAAAATTCATTCAGGTGGACAAATGGCTGTTGCACTCGACAGCGTTGCATGTGTAGCTGCATGTATCTGTGTATGCTAACCATTTCATGCTTGGTAGCCTAAACGAGATTTTTATTGCCCTGCTTCAGTGAATTTGCACAATAATCTTAAATTTTTTATCTGTCCAATTATTTGACTGTCTTCTATTTCAGTGGACAAATTATTGCAATCGATGATTTTTGCGATGAGGTGCTGTATTGCATTTGTATAAAAGTAAATTCTTTAAAAATGAAATTAACTTACTTCGTGTGTAAAGTAAATCTTACTGAGAACAATAAAATTATAAGTATACATTTTGATCTAACATAGTATTTATGGTTGTCCAAATGCGACTTCTTCATTTCTTCCCTTCGCTATTCGGTCTCAATTGGAGATACCAAGTTCAGCCAGGTTTTTTCCATCTGATTCCAACGAGGTGGAGGCCTTTCTCTTCATATGCCTCCAGCGACGGGTACTGAATCAAATACTCTGTTCTTATCGATCTAGACCAACCGCTGTCTTGTGATTCGTTGAATTTTGTCAATGGCGCCGTATGTCTTCTACAGTTCATCTCTCCATCGGCTGCGGGGTTCTCCGTTGCTAATGCGCAAGGGACCATAAATCGTCCGCAGAACCAAGTAACGATTGCGACGACTGTTTGTTTGATGGCAGGATATATTTCGTCTTGTCCCCGTTCGCTACCAGACCCGCTTGCTTAACGGAGTACTATGGCGGTTGTACATTCTTCTATAGGATTTTAGCTTCTCTATTCAGATTTGCAACTCATATTATTTTCTCCAGGAGTTGATTGAAGAAGTCGCATTATAGGGAGTCGCCTTGCGCTTCTTTTTCTTGCTGTCAAAAAGGTGATGTCTGTCGATCTTAATTTAGCGGGCCATTGCCAAGATTTGGCGGAAAGTGAATATTCGGTAAAGTTTTTAAGTTTAAAGCCACACTGATACGGTCCAGTCAGCTCGTAGGCGGTGAGTTTAAATATTTCTCACACTTCGTTGGTAAGATCTTATATGCGATATTAAGCAACCTTTTCTCGCGGTAATTAGCGCAGATCGTGGGGTCCCGGTTTTATGGATTGGATAGACGCAACACTTAGTTTGCAATCGTCACGTTGTCAGCCTTTCGCTTCCATATTTGAAGAGCTCGGCCGGTAACCCATCCGGCCTTGCTGGGTAATTGCTATTCGATTCTTCATAGCGGGTCCATCTAACATTTATTTCTTACACATCGATTGGAGAACCAGGTTTTTGCACATTCACTGCCGTTGGGCAGACTGGAAAGGTGTTCTCTCTATAAATAGTGTGTCCATAGCACCATCAACCACTAGATCACATTTTTGGGTCCTACAAAAATATGCTCGGTCTTGAAACCTTTCGTTATTCGCCGCATATTTTCGTAGAATATTGCAGCATTACCCTCTCGGCCAGATTCTCAAGCGAGTAGGTCTGCATATTTTATGCCAAATCGCTTGCGCGACAATGCGCGCTTAGCTTAACACATTCCAACGTTGTTGTTGCAAAACTCACCAATAACGGGCCATATTGTTATGCTTTCATATATGCTATGTTACTTATGTTATTTGCAGCCACTGAGCACCGCTTATCGCATTTCTTGCATATCCCAAGAGCCGAATTTGTCTGCGTTTGKATTTGCTTTCCATCAGCGGATCTTTTACTCAAAGCTTCCTGTGCTTAGGAATTTATGCAGCTACAAAAAGCAATTGGAAACATTCATGCATATCCGCAGCTTTGCTCGCGATATTTAATAGTAACTGAAGCTGCGCGAATATCCGCCAAATACCCTTTCGATACACTGAAACGTATAAGAATCATGACTCTTAGATATACACATGCCGCTACTATCACGCGTGTATGCAAATATATTTATGTATATTGTTTGCCGCTGCTTGCTCTGAAAGTCGCAGGGCCTGTCTCTTATACACATCTATCACGCGTGTATGCAAATATATTTATGTACTGTCTCTTATACACATCTAGATGTGTATAATATAAGAATCATGACTCTTAGATATACACATGCCGCTACTATCACGCGTGTATGCAAATATATTTATGTATATTGTTTGCCGCTGCTTGCTCTGAAAGTCGCAGGGCTGTTGGAAAAAATTATGAGCATTAGATTTTGTTCATACTTTCGTTGTTTCCATTAAAATTTAAGTTTTAGTACACGCTTGTGTAGCCCGCATATCCTGTTGATCCTTTGGATACAGACAGGAAGTTAAATTTAATGGAAGCGGATATTAGCATGGCAAAGTTTTTGTTTTTGCAAGTAYTGAAAAAGACCAAACTAATTTCATATTTGTTATTTTTTGCGAGTGTACTTTTTCAGGAATGTGCGACTTATATACGTATGCGTGTATGTATATGTATTTATTTATATGTATATATTATGTAGAGTCTCATATATGGGCCCATATGTACATACTCTGTATAAAGTGTTGCGAAGTATCAGTAATTGTTATCAGTTGATTTATGGCAGGAGTGGAGTGAGTTGGTTTGCATTTTTCATGCAGCTGCTGCCGGATTCTAGCATCTTAAGCCAACTGCGAGCGTAAATCTTGGATTTTTTTCATCATTGTATWTAGTAGAGGTGCATAATGCACGCTCAAATAGTTATTTGTGTATCATTTCCAGTTGATTTACTATTTTCATTCGTACTCTCTTTGCAGTGTYGCAGGCGCCCACCCGACTTCCACTTGATATCAACACGTAAAAAACAGAATAAACACAAATCTGTTGCGGTGCTGCATCGAAATTGCATTTGGAATTACAAAAATTCGACAAAGTCTAACAAAGAGAGTTAATCGAGGAGAAAAAATTTCGATTCTCGCTGCCGAAAACGGCAGGAAACGTGAAATCGAGATTAACACTTAAAAGGAATTGCTGGCACACTGTAAGCACCGAAAAATTGAAAAGGCTCCAGGAAGCCGGAAATGCACCTTAGCAAAAGCAAAAGCAAAACGAAAACGAAAACGACAACATAGTGGAGTGCAAGAATAAATACAACGCAGTCAAGTGTAATTTTTTCACAGCAAAAAGTCAATAGAATAAACACATATCTATGCGCTAGTAACGGTTGTTTTAGCAAAAGGAAAATAAAATCGAATGGCATATAAATCGAACGACATTGAAGTCAGTGAAATGTGAAAGAGCTAGTGACGTCAGTAGGCAGCGACGAACAAATAAAAGAAAAGCGCAATCTGTAAGAGTACCAAATGCGGTTGCAATGGATCCGGTGCAAAACTAGTTTTAAAGCAGTGTGACAGCACGTCACAACTCCGTTGTAATAGAAAAAGTTTCGAAGCAATTTTCTTCATTTTTAATTTTTTGCCTGTGGCCTCCCAACAAAGTATGTGARCTGCATACATATATTGGTTTCAGTTTCCAAAGTGAAAATTGAAAAGGGAGTAACTGCGCCCAGCAAACCAATGCGAATTAGTATAGAGCGATATCGCGTAAAAGAGTTTGTGGAATTGACAACTAATGTATTACGGTGCGTGCTCTTATTTCCTTGTGGCAACAAAGCGTAAAATTGGCCTATCACTCGATACACAGCGCGGACCAGCGACATAAAGCGTATATTTTTTGTGAAAAGTGTAAATATTTGAGAAAAAACGTAAATAGTTCATAATGGAAGTGAGTAAAGTTTATAAACCGTGTGTTCGGGCTCTTCGGTTGGCAAGGAAACGTGCAACAGTACGATCAACGTGGCGCACAATGTTGCTATTTGTTGGCATATTTTTCTTTATACCAGGTACGTTCATTCAGTAYGTTTTTTCCAATTGCATGCCAAAAAAACATCCTTTTCTTAGTATTTTTTGAAGAGGATATTTATTTAATGAATGAAAAAAATTACATGTATACGAGTATTTATAAAGTTTTATATACTTTTATAATCAGAAATTGATTTTGTAAAACTTGGTGTTTTCTTGATGTCATAGCCATCATCCCGAAGTACCTCSGAAAAAGGTATCTGGCGGAGAGGCAAAATATTTATATTCACACAGCATCTTGCAACTCAAAGTATAGTAGTTTTGTACATCCAACGGTAGCTAAATAGTTATATACATACATATAAGTCTTTTGGTATTTCGAGTGGAGCTTCAATTTATGTTTGTTTTGTAATTATAATGAACGTTAATGAACYAAATATGTACCATTTTGGTCGACCACTTTTGCATTTCGCTAGATACTTTATTCCATCAGTGTAAAACTTTTCTGGTTTCTCGGCGAAAAACTGCGACAAGTAATTTTTACAGGTTTCTMTTGAAGCCAACGTTACGCCATTAAGGARTTCTGCTTTGAACGACACGCCAGRGGCTATATGGTGGATGCATCAAAAATTCCCAGCCAAGCKCTCCCAGTTTTTGCCGAGTCATCAAAGATGTGTGTGGTTTAGYGTTGTCTTGATGTAAGACGACGCCCTTTCTCAGTTCTATCAATTTTTTTCTATTGCTTGGTCCATCTGTGATCTACTTGTGGGAATTTTTGAATAACACAACCCTATCAACCGTATGTATGTCTCTATCTAATCTAACCTAACTGAACTTACTAGATAATCTTTAAGCATATCTGTCTTCTCCTCCCAATACAACACAATACTTTCCCATTTTTTTAAAGTGAATATAACGGATATAACGGACATGTTTATTTATTACAAGAATTCAAGATTGCAACCCTTTCCAGATGTACTAATGTACAAAGTGGTTGGTTAGCTTGTAGAGTGYCTTTCGTTTCGATTTTCAATATTGTGATCACGTCGCGTGTCTGGCTTAGTGGAAATATTGTCGTCACCAAACCGCCTCAGAGGTTACACATACATACATACATACCATGTAAATGTTGTTATTGCTTTCATATTCCCAAGTGTTGTTTTTATTAYACTCACTTTTATTAGAGTAGCTAATGTTACCTAACTCCTTTGATTTTATGCTGACCAATCAACTTTGAGGTTGTACTTTTCATATTTGACGACCAATGGGACATTTTATGGCGGAACGCAGCGCAGAATGCGAAACAAGTTTTCACCAGCTCATTCATATATGCGTTTTGGTAGCACGTAACACCCGTGATTAGCTGCGCCTACAGTACAGGTTGAAAAAGAAAAATCTATTTTAACCTGAGCGCTTGCASAGTACAGAAGCTTTGCCGGCAGAAATTCGGTAGTAATGTGCTTTTGCAGTGGGGGGAGATTCGGGCTAAGCGCGCGAACCCAGGAAGTTGAACATATCCTGCGCACTGTGCAACACAGCCGCTTGGGAAGTGCTCGACATTGCGTTTTCAACGCTCGAGCTCTCGTCAATGTGAGTATATATATATATATATATATATATGTGTGTTCGTAATCACGATTAAACTGTCAACGGAATACTAATTAGATTTTGGGTGGCGTTTTTGTGAAAACGCTAAGACCATGTTAGAGCTTTGTGTGCCGCAAAGTTCGCCGGCTCAACAAGCTGAAATTACACACAGCGGCTGAACACGCTTGCTTATGCTGTGCGTGTAGTGCTCGTGAAAATTGCCTGGCTGTCGGTCAAAAACCTTTGRATTTTTTATTTATGTGAGTGCGTGGACGTCCATGAATGTTCGTGTAAGTGTGAGCTTGTTATGCAAATTGTGTTTGAATGCATTGTGATTGTTTGATTAATATGTTCACGAGCACACCCAGTTGCATGTAGATTTCTGCTGAAAATTTGCACCTTTGAAAAATAATTGAACGGAAAGCTGGTTTGAATTTAAAGCGTTGATGAGTCTTTTGAATTTTAGGTGAAGGGGTGAACAGCATGAATTAACAGTTATTCAAATATTATCATTTTATAATATATTAGGGATCTCCTTAGTTAAAGATATARTTTCACAGTCAGTCGCTTATAGAAATATTAGTATAAACTAAGTTTTCACTGAGCCCCATATAAACGATCAGTAAACTAAATACTTACTTCAGACTTTGGTTTATAGTCTTCTGGTTAGGATGATGAATTTAACAGCATGTGGATTCCCTAAAAAATAAATATCCTACAGACCTGAAATACTAAACTCTTTAAGGAATTAGAAAAGCTGAAAGCAATTTTATATACTTAGAGAATTTTTTTTTGCTTAAAGTATATGATTTCCACGCTCGCGTTCAACCAAAATGTAAGCAAAATTTTTTTCTTTATAGAAATAAAACAATGAGGGTTGCTTTTGTTTTATTTCTATAAAGAAATGTCACAAAAGTGCTACATACCAAACACCATATGTAAATATCACCTGCCTTATGCTATGCCTTTTACTAACACTAATTTTTCAATGCTTTTGCCGCTGTCCGACACGGCGTATACGTGTCATGATTTATGCCGATTTGGCGTGACAGTGCAATGTGGTTTGTGTTCGTACATGTTAGCTAACAGCAGAACACCAACAATTATAATGACGGCARCCAAATGCCTTGTGAAATGTCAAAATAAATACAAATATAGATGGCATAAATAAACGGTGCTTTGGTGATTTGTGAGCTCAACCAATAACCACAACAAAATAAGAAAAAAATTAATGAAAATGAAACAGAGCAACTTTTTTRTTTACTGAAGCGTTGAAATAACTAAATGAAATGAGTTTTTTATTCGATTAATGTTATAAAATTTTTTACGGTCGTTTATCGTATACGATAATTTGTTCATATTTTGATGTAAAAAAATGAGAGATCCACTATCCACTAACGTATTTAACTGAATTTGTGAAAAAMTAAATAATTATGCGGTCCGTTTTTTATACTCCTGCAAAATGTTGCATCAGAATATAACAGTTTTGTGCAACTTGCGGTTGTATGTACTATATCACCTAAATCTAAKCTGGATAGATATTGGCTAAAAAGAATGTTTATTATCATTAGAAAGAGCATTCTATGATATTCATTTTTTGAAGATTATCTTTTTCAAATTTTGGCCGCGGCACTCCTCAGTTTTTCCATCCGTTGAATTCAATTTTCTTTGACTCATTGGAGGATTTAGACTGGTAACTGGCGAATGACCCTCGTRATGTTGATTGTTGCTTCATGTGAAAGAGAGATAAAAAAAAAGTAATACCATATTTATGTGGCAACTGCCCCGAAAAAAAATATAAAAATGTGTTTAAAGTTTCAGTGCCGACCAATCTGGTTGCCGGCTCAACAACTCATCTATTCGAAAATAGCTAAACTTTAAAAGTATAAAAGAAAACAAAAATAGATGTTTTTTATGTTTAGCCTAGAGTACTCTCTTAAAAATTCCATTTTTATCAGATCTATCATGAGATATTGACTAYTTCGCCTTCAGAATGTGTTATGTCTTTAGTTGTCTCTATAATGTTTTCAAATTTATTCCTCCTTTTCATGAATTTTTTTTTATTAAAAATTTAAAATATTAACGAAATTTATTAAAATCAATAACTGGTTTAATAAAACCGTATTCCTTATTACAACATTAAATTGAAATATTTTAAATAACTATTAATTCATCCAAATAAAGTTCATATTAAGGGCAGTAATCAAATTGCTGGCCTTTGACGGCACCATTACCGTGCTCTATTAATAGCAGCTCCAGGCGAGTGTTGTTAATTTCATTCTCTATTCAACCTAAATTTCGTAGAGCTGCCTACACAGTGAAAACATTTGCCTGGCTGCAATAATTTGCATGCATAAGCAACAAAGCTTTAGGCGCTGAACTGAATTTAAATGCTAATAATCGTAAATACTTAATTTCCAAACTTGCAAGCTAATATGAGCATTTAATTTTAAAATTATGCTATTCACTATTGATACACGCTTCGATGAAATTTTATGAAACTATCACAGGCACACATGCACACATACATATGCATAAATCGTAGCGCGGGTAGCGCAACAATAATTTCTATGGGCAATTCAATGCGCGGATAACGGTGAACGCAGGTTGAACATTTCATCGGTACTTTACACTTTCGCACACATTAAAGCGTTAATCGCCTAAAAGCACACTACATTTTGCTTATAATTTCACAGCTGTGTTGGCTGTGGGTGTTTGGCGGCGGGCTGTCTAGTAGCTTGCGGCTAGCGGTTTGTCCTTTGCGTGGCGGCATACCCTTTTAAAACACACTTTGTGGCTGTGAAATTATATTGTGGTCACGATATAAATTCTCGATTTCAGGTAACCGCAAAAAAGGCAAACACTCACATACCGTGCGCGATCAAAGAGCAAATGCAACGCAACCACAGAACTCAACAAAAGCCAATACAGCTACAAGTCACACATGTATTAAATACATTTTTATATATTTATCCATTAGTGTGGTTTTGTTGCATAATAGGCAAAGTATCAGAGGTATTAAGAATAGTTAAGCGAGTCTTGTAAGTATAACTGGAATTCTTTCATAATTTTATACCTTGAGAAAAGATTTGTACAAATATTGGGAAGTCGAAGAAGTCTTTTCGTATTTTGTCAAAAGCTGTATATTTTTWAAAATTAAATTTTTAGTTATTTTGCGGTATCTAGGTATATTTTGCTTCTATATGTAGAAACTTAGAAAAGCGACAATGTCAAAATCGGCTTAAACACAAAATAGCTATATGGTATTTGCAACCTTCCTGAACATATGTGTACATGACGGCGGCACAAGCGCTGGGGGCCAAAAGTGCTCGAGCGCTTTTCGTGCGCTAAACGGCGATAATAAAGCTTATGTGGGCACTCGAGTGCAAGCACGGATGCGTGTAAGTGTGTGCGCGTGTGTCGGGTCATAAAAAGAATGCTGCTCGGCGTACGT